TTGATTATATTATAAGTATTATTACTTTTGATTTATGTTATAAGTATTATTACTTTTGATTATGTTATCAATATTATTATGCTAACATTTATTTTATCAATATTATTATTTTTCTTTTATGTTAGATTTATGTCATGAATATTGTTATTTTAGATTTAGTTTATCAATGTTGTTACTTTGATTTATGTTATAAGTATTATTACTTCTTTAGATTCATGCTATCAATATTACTTTTGATTTATGTTATAAGTATTATTACTTCTTTAGATTCATGCTATCAATATTACTTTGGATTTATGTTATAAGTATTATTACTTCTTTAGATTCATGCTATCAATATTACTTTTGATTTATGTTATAAGTATTATTACTTCTTTAGATTCATGCTATCAATATTACTTTGGATTTATGTTATAAGTATTATTACTTTTGATCTTAACCAGTTCTCTTTTCATTTTTAAATGCCAAGCCTTCAGACACTTGATTTATTCCAGGTTTAATAAAGTAACATGGTGATTCATTGCAAGTTTAACAAAGCAATATGGGGATTCATTGCAAGTTTAACAAAGCAATATGGGGATTCATTGTAGGTTTAACAAAGTAACATTAGTGATTCATTGCTAGTTTAACAGAGTAGGTAGGTAAAACAATGTATAATGATGTAATAAAGTAATTATGGTGATCAATTTCAAGCATAATAAACAGATTAAATATATTTCCTATGAAGTTTAACAGTGTAATAAAGTTTGTTTTGTTTTTTCTTATATAAAAGTTTCGTAACTACTCAATTGATATGCGAACGTCTATGGTGATATTACGTCTTGTTCAGCCGGAAAAAAATGTTTTTCAATAAAATACTGTACTATTTACTTTATCTGTCTAATTTATTTGGTAAAACATTTCATGGTGAAGCTAAATTATTTAGTAAAATATCTTATGGTCAGGCTAATTAAGTTAGTAAGATACTTCATGGTAAAGCTAAATTCTTTAGTAAAATATCTTATAATCAGGCTAATTGACTTAGTAAGACGTTTCATGATGAGACTAATTAATTTAGTAAGCTACTTCATGGTCTGGATAATTGATTTATTAAGACACATCTTGGTCAGACTAAATGATTTAGGAAAACATTTCAGGACTTATATTAAGATAGGTCAAACAACAAGGTATATATGAAAGAAAGAATCTTACAAAAATACGTATGTGAATTATTCTTTGAAGACAACGTCCATCCTATGTAATAAGATCTAATTAAGGAGAGTTCAAGATGTTTAGTAAAGACACTTTAAGAGCTTCATTTATACAAATGGGTCGTCGTTTTGATTGAGCAAGAGGAATCTGTTAGAGAACAATACATTCCAAAATAACGATATATTTATATGTATACACACACAAAGAGACGTCTTCTCTGTGTTAGGTCACCATAAGAATAAGAAGAAACTAGAAAATTTATCAACGCAAGATGAAGACTTACAAGATTGATTTAAGTTATATAAGCCTATTATTTGAAAGGGTTCATTTTCTCGCAATTCTATAAACGTGGGTTTGATTAAATTTCATTAAGCCTCTCTAATCTGTTGTGTCATTATTGTGAAACGAAAGCAGCTAACAAATTTGACGTCATATTTCAATAAAGACGTTTTAACATTTTGTTGGCCTGGCATGGCTTGATGGTTAAGACTCTCGCGGTTTCAAATCCCATCACCAAACACGATCTTCCTTTCAGGTGGGTGGGTGGGGGGCTTTATAATTGGGTGGTTTTGACTAGCTGCAAATTAGGGATAGCTGATGCAGATAGCCCTCAAGTAGCTTTGCGTGTAGATAACCAGACAAATAAAAGCATGTTGTGCCTTGAACTACGTGTACTTTTAAAGAACTTAGTGTAGAAATGTTTGACAGTTTTTGAACACTAAATATGAAAGTCCACAACTTTTGACGGTGTACGTTAGCAGTTTAAATATACATAGTTTGTTTATTAGCCAGACAGAATATCAATAGTTGAAACTCTGCGTGTTAATTACAAACTCATCTTATTTCTCTGTTCTTATTAACAGCGCATGCGTAACCGTCGTATCTAACAAGTCTGGGAAATTTTTAAGTCAAACGTTAAATTCAGAGAATCAAAAATCTTCATGTCGTAAACCAATCAGAAATTAGTTAACATATCTGCTCATATTCAGAATGTCTCTAGTGTAAATAGCATCCTCTTTCAGATCCGTTTATATTCAGCATGTCATTAGTGTAAACAGCATTCTCTGTCAGATCTGCTTATATTCAGCATGTCATTAGTGTAAATAGCATTATCTGTTAGATCTGTTTATATTCAGCATGTCATTAGTGTAAACAGCATTCTCTGTCAGATCTGTTTATATTTAGCATGTCCCTCGTGTAAACAACATTCTCTGTCAGATCTATTTATATTTAGCATGTCCCTTGTGTAAACAGAATCATCTTTCAGATCTCTTTATAGTGACCCTAATGTAAACAGCATACTCTGTCTTTCCTTAATGATACTCAGTTATAAGATAAACTGTTTCCGTTGTACTTCACCAACTTTCCTTAATGAGACAAAGTTATAAGATAAACTGTTTCCGTTGTGTTTCATCAACTTTCCTTAATGATACTCAGTTATAAGATAAACTGTTTCCGTTGTACTTCACCAACTTTCCTTAATGATACTCAGTTATAAGATAAACTTCTTTCGTTGTACTTCCCCAACTTTCCTTAATGAGACAAAGTTATAAGATAAACTGTTTTCGTTGTGTTTCTACTAATAACTAGAAATGACGCTTCACGTACTTTGATAATTAAATTACAAAGACTTGTTTTTTCTTATTACAAAAAGAAAACAATAACCACCAGTTTCGCATGTTTTTTTTTGTACAACTAAAACAGATAGTTTAAACAATTTGTTTAACAAAGGCTAAGTAGATGAACACCTAAAATTCATTTAACACAATTTTTCATAAACCAATAAAGACAAATATAATTTCAATTAAATCATGCATACATTAACCACATTGGAGAGTTAATACAAAATATCCACTGAATGTCAACATTTTTTTTTTACAATTTGTAAGTACACTTTCCTCTATACTGTTAGATGACTTAGTATAAGTCCATGTTACTTTGTTAAACTTACAATGAATCACCATGTTACTTTATTAAACCTACAATAGATCACCATGTTACTTTGTTAAACTAGCAATAAATCACCCTGTTACTTTATTGAACCTACTATAACTCACCATGTTACTTTATCAAACTTACAATGAATCACCATGTTACCTTATTAAACCTACAATAGATCACCATGTTACTTTGTTAAACCTACAATAAATCACCATGTTACTTTGTTAAACTAGCACTGAATCACCATGTTACTTTATTAAACCTGGAATAAATCACCATGTTACAACCCTACAATAAATCAACACGTTACTTTATTTAAACCTTCAATAGATCACCAT